CAGTTTAGCCATAGAAAATAGTCTGGCACTGGAAAAATATCAGATAATGATTTTTTCTTTAGTCCATATGAAGTGATCGTTGCTGGAAGGAGCTGGCAGATGCTTCTGTCTGGACAGAGCTGTGGACAAGTGCCACATTTCCAGTCAGCAGCAGAAAGGGAGTCCCTGTGGGCCAGGGTGGGCTCCTGCCTCTGTGACACATGGGGCAGGAAGAAACACAACTTCTGTCAATTGACCAAAACCTTAAAGGTATTTGCTTATCAGATGTTCTTTGCTCTCCACCCAGCTGAGGCCCAGTAAATGCAGCTATGGATCAATTTTGTGTGCAGCACCAATTACAATATTATTAATTGTTAACAATGACAGTAATGGCTTTATTGCTGTAGAGCCTTTATTTATACACCTGAAGTGGAGTATTCTAACCTTTGAGGACCCCAAACACTCCTGAGCTTTCAGGAAACATGAATTGCTTGAGTCTCCACTGTTGCAGTGCCTGTTCTTTAATTAATAAGTGCATACATTAGATACTCACATAAAGCTGGCTAGATCCTACCTGTGTACTCACAGTAAACTGAGATAAATACATTTGTTCTGAAGATATTTCCTATTCACAGTGAATATTATGAGCTAACACACCAGCAGATAAGCACCACTTTGCCTAACCTGCTGAAAAATGGGCATCAGTGCAATGGAAAAGGGCAGCTCTTTTTGCTGTAATCAGTATTTCTACTTAGCTGGAGAGAGGGCAAGGCAGGGGATAAGATTCTTTGCTGTATCCACTAGAAATTCCAGCTGGGCTTTAGGTTGGAAAAATGTAGTGAGTGGACTGGAGCTGTGACAAGACTCCCGGATCAGCACTGAGTCGAAGGACCATGTTTCCCACAGGGCTCAGATCTCCCATCAGGAGCAAATGCTTAATGAGGACATTGCCAGGCCCAAGAAGGAAGGTTGCCTGTGTCAGCCTGCCAGTACCAGCAGGTCTGGTCCCTGTGCTAACGTGTCATCAGAAAGGTGAAGTGGGCATGGGGGATGCTGTGAATCAGATTCTTTTTAGACCAACTGCCAGGGTGAACTAACTGGTTGCTTCAGGTGAGTTATATTCTTGCTGTACTTAAAATTGATTCAACAGAGAGCCAGCTCTCCCTGGCAGTCCTTGCTTCTGATATAATTTTGATAAAAGCAGGAAGACAGGAGATGGGATCCTGCACCTGTCACCCCATCACATCAGGGACATTCTGGCTCTACCCACGGCAGCTAATGAAGAGTAAACGAGTTGTCATGTCCAAAGGTCTCGGTAGTAAATCAGCCAGTAGGTAACACGCCATGAAACTAAGTGTCCTAGTTTGCTTTTCTAATAAAAAAAGGATTTTATAAAGTATTAGGAAGTGGATACTTCACACACTTTGTTCAGAGAAAGTTCAACAAAAAGAAAAACACAGAAAGGAATGAAAGAAGATCTGAGTTTTGAAAAGACCGGAACAGAACTGGAAAAACAATAATCCTTTAACTCTATTTCCCTCTTTCTTCTACCTAAGCTTCTTAGAACTTCATCTGAATCCGTAACAAAGATGTATTTCTAACAAGAGCTGCAGATTTCAGTGGGCTGCTTTTCATTTGTGCTGTCTCCACCTAATGATTTGGTTCCGCCAACTTTGCTCAAACGTCTGTTGCTGCAAAGGAAGAAATATCAGAGCTTCAGTGAAGTAGCAGGTGACAGAACTTTGTTCTTCTCAGCCCTGCATCAAAGCTTAAACACCTTTCCCTTCCTTCACTCACTGATCTCAAATGCTGCACGTGGCTGAGATTAAAGCCATTTCCCTGGATTAATGTGCTCCGTACACAGCATTGCACAAAGAACTTACTCAAAAAACAATTAAAGTGCCTGGTCATTATCCCTCACATTCAAAATTTTTCAAAACAACTGAAAGCAAGTGAGAGCAAAGAGAACCACTCAGTTACATCTCTGGGTGAGCAGAGGAGCTCCAGCTGGTACGTAGCTATCAGGAACTGTAATGATTGTTGTTACCTAGTTGCAGGGATGCAGAAAAAGGAAAAGGTAAAAGTGCATCTTTTAACAACTTCCTGGGCTTTTATCAAATATTTTGGGTGGAGGGACTGATAAATCAGTTAGGAAAGATCAGGAATTGGAGAACAGAAATCTGAAAGTTTACTCTAGTGAGCATGAAATATGAGACTGGAACAGGGACGTGGAAACTCCTTGTTTGCACAGCCAGCCTTGATGTGTCATTTTTATTCATTGAGTAGTTTTATTGGCAAATGCCTCATAGTTCAAGAATCCAAGCAGAGCAGCTCACCTTCTATGAACACATTGTGCCTGGGGACAGCAGCACTGTTGCTAATTCCTGCAACAAGGAATGTCATACCCAAGACAGACAGCAATACTGTGCTTATTTGGGCCCAACAGGAAATGTACCCTGGTAAATATTAGCTAAGATCTAGCTGGGTTACATGTGCTGATTTAAACTGAAAGGACTTTCAGGGCTGGTTTATATAATTCACTTTATGTAATCTCCTCTAGACATCCTGTGATATACACAGTGTACTTATACAGGAGGGATTTTTTCTCCTGC